GGGAGGAGGTTTGAGTAGGATTCACGCCCAGGCTTTTCCCTCACCTCTGCTACTAAAACCTCCCCTTGAACAAGGCTACCAACCTGGAGAGAGTGAGAGAAGAAATGTCAGGTCAATTCAGAGACAGGGGATATTGAAAGACAGGTACCAGCAGGGACGGGGGTAGACAAATACAAGAGGGAACCACCCGAGAAAGACAAGGAAAGGGCAAGTTAAAGTCCCATCCTCCACCCAGACCCTGAGAAGAGGCAATAGGACCCCAGCCTCTCCCTATTACCCACCAACCTCATGGGACTTCCTTTTACAGGCAGGGAAACTGAGGCCAGATCCCCCACCTTATCCTGAGATCCAACACTACCACGCTGCACGCAGCTCACCAACACCCCCGATCCTTCTGGCATGCTCGGCCTGTACCTGCAGACCCTCCGCAGGCCCCTCCCTGTCTGCCTAGCTCATCCTTTACATCCCGCTAAGGTCCAGCCACACAGTGGAATACGATTCAGCCATGAAAAGGAATGCAGTTCTGATGCCTGCTCCCATGGGAAGGAACCTTGAAGAGATGGTGCTCCGGGAAGGCAGACAGACAGGAGAGGTCACGCGTTGTATAATTTCATTTCTATGAAACACCCAGAACAGGTAAATCCACAGAGACAGAATGAAGACCGGTGGTCGCCAGAGGAAGGGGCAGGGGATGGGGAGCGCTGCTTTGTAGGTACGGGTTACCTTTCGGGGTCGGGAAAAGGCTTTCAGAGGCCATGGCTGCACAACGCTGCCAACTACTAAATGCCAACTCACACTTTAAAGTGGTTAATTCCAGGGGTGCCTGGGGGGCTCAGTCGGTGAAGCGTCTGCCTTCGACTCAGGTCATGATCCCGGGGTCCTGGGACTGAGCCCCGCATCCGGCTCCCTGCTCAGGGGGGAGCTGCTTCTCCCTCTCCCTCTGCTTCTCCCCCTGCTTGTGCGCTCTCGCTTTCTCTAGCAAATAAATACAAACTTTTTTTTAAGTGGTTAATTTTATATTATGTGAATTTCACCTCTGTTTAAAAAAACTCAGCCAGCGAAGGGCACATCTCCTCCCTGTGCCTTCCCTGACAGCCCCCCCCAGGGCCAAGCACTCCGGCTCCGGGCTCGGGTGGCCTCCTGAACACACCTCCATACAGCACTCACTGGGCTACAGTGAAATCGACGTGTTTCTGCACGTCTCCCTGTGAAAGCCCGTCTCACCCGCCCCTCTCGCCCCGGTGCTTCACACGGCCCCGGGCAGACAGCAGGCAGTGCCCAGCGTGGTCCACCAGGAGAGCAGAACCAACACCAAGCTCCGCTCCCCAACCCAGAGCTGCCTCCCATCACGGCACCGGGGAGAAGCCGAAGCACTCCGCTCACGGGGACCAAGCGCTGCCCGCGTGCCAGGCGCCGGGTGAAGGGCTCACGCTCTGTTCCTGCACTTAACCCTCATAAACCGAAGCGGTAGGGCGAACTATTAACTCCGTCTTACAGGTGAGGCTTCAAAAAGTTCTCTCTTCTGTCTGAGGTCTCGGAACTAGGAAGTGGCAAAAAGGGAAGGTAGGAGCAAGCCGAAACCCAGGCAAGGAGGCCACGGGGGGGACCTGGCGTTCCTGGAGGAACGCCCCATCGGGGTTGGAGGATGGTGTCGTAAGACATCCAAGAGGCTAAAGAATGGGGTTTAAGAACTTGCCCCACGTCACGCCACTACGAAGTACTAATTCCAGCCAATGCTGTCAGGGTGTGGGGAGCTGTCAAGGGCAGAATGTGCAAAAGAGCAGACAGAAGTCCCTAAAACTCAGAGGTGAGGAGGAGAGTCCCAGAGCTCATCCCTCTTCCCCCCCAAAGTTTCTATTAGCCAAGTACACGCCCCCCTCAACCGGAAGGGCCTCTTGGAAACCAGACAAACAGATAAAGTCTGTCCTGCTCTAGGGCCAGGAAAGGGGGCCCTTCCTCAGACTCTGAAGGAGCAGAAGGAGCCGAGAGCCACACCGGAGAGGCCCGTCTTGGAGGAATCAGAGGAATGACCAGGCAGAAGCAAGACAATGGAGCAGGAGGAGCCAATGTGTCCACTGGTTCCAGACTAGAAGTACTTCCAGAGATGGCATCTCCCATCCTCTGAGCACAACACATCCTCCTTGGAAGAACACCCCCACCAGCATGGTGTAGCAGGCCTGCACGAGGGCCAGAGCACCCCCATCCTCGATTCAAGAGCCTCGCTCGCCACAGGAGCCCTACCCATCAGACACTGTCTGGCTTGGGGGAATCATGCATCTGGTCCTTCCTGCTCTGCCCCCAGCCCTAGTCCCAACATGTTCTAACTCCCACTACCCTTATCCCCCAGTCTTAGGAAAGCCAGGAAGCCCTGGAGACTAAAGAGGGAACATTCCAATTGCACATGCTCTTTAGGGACTCAGACATTCCAATTCCAGTTCCTCAGCGACCCTGATAAACTTTTGCGGTCACAATCTCAGCCCCTAAAACTGGGCAGCTCACCCTAACCCCTGGTGGCAACAGGAAAGCATCTGAAAGGGCGACGGAGAATAAAGTGTGCATCCTAAACAAGAAGGTCAGCCCCTTCCCTTCACCCCAAAAGAGACAAGAGAGAGGAGAGGCAAAGGGGGTAACCACCACTTCTGTGGGGAGAGATACACCCACTTCCCCGACAGTGGTGACCTCCCGCCACATTATCAGGATGGTGAGGACGGCCTTCGAGGGGTGCCCACGCTCCCCCCAACACATGGACACTCATTTGCCCCCTCACTGGCTCAGCTCCTGTTCCTCACCCTCAGACCCGGCCCCGGACCACAGCTCCGCCCCAGCCATGCTCCTCACCAGGGAAAAGGGAAACTAAGGGACCCGCACAGACACACCTGCAGAAACTCTTGAGGAACCCCCTACACCCCACCCCACCAACCTCCCCAGAGCTCCCATGCCACCTTCTCAACCCCATGGACAGAACCCGTTGCACCACACCCCATTGTTCATCCCTCCAGCAGGCTGCCTCCTCTGGCCTCCACCCCATACCAAAATCCCAACTCCTCAGGAACTGTAGGGTCCTGGAGGAAAGGCAGGGTTCGTGGGCTTTTAAGTCAAAGACTCCAAGGCGCTTTCCAAGACAACTGTGGCCTGAGGGGGCTGAGTCTGGGCCGGAAAGCCAAGAATGTGGCCTCTCCATGCACTGGAACCCAACCTATGATGGTGGGGGAGGGCCCTCTTCTTTCTCTCCCTGACTCCTCCAGGGCCTCCGATTCCTTTAGGACTACAGCCAGAACCCCTGTTCTCTATTCCCCAAAGCACACACCCTTTTCTAGAAAAACCCACCTCCCAGACAGGCATCTCTTAAGATGGCCCACTCCCTCCCACTTGTAGGTCTCAGATACTTAAAGCACTCCCCTTGCGCCCTGAGAGAGCCACATCCAAGAAGCTGCAGAATCATCCAGACAGCTGTCCTTCAGGCTTTCTACCAGGAAAATCTGCCTGTAGATACAAGAAGTAGTACCCCCAACACACACTCAGAAACACACACACCACCTAACGCAGTGCACACACTGGGACGTACCCATCAACACTGGTTGCACACAAGAGAACAGATTTGCTCACCCCCTTTCCACCACACAGGTGCACGCACACCTATCCAGGTATGCCCCATTCTGTTCTTACACACCCGCCTTCCTCAGTACCTACACCCTTCTTTCCCAGAAACCCCTCCGCAGTTCACACACACAGACACACACCCCTTCCCCCGAGTATACACGTAAATGCACATCCAAGCACACAGCAGATACACGGTCAGCTGCTCCCGGGGTGCACACACCTCCACAGAAAAACCCCTACACCTCCAAACCCAGGGGCCCACCTGCAGGAACACGCAGCACATCACGGCGCACGCACACACACACACAAAAACAAAGAATCACACACACTGAGCCTCCACCGATGCTTTAAAACTCACTAATGCAGAGCCCCCAGCCCCCCAGATGGGTAAATCTGAGTGGGGAGAGGGATGCCGGCGCCTGTCCCTGGGTCCCCATACACAGTGCCCGGGTCCCCGGCCCGCCAGCCCCGTCCTCGAGCAGCACACACACCCCCTCTACTCTCCTCGATCGGTCCCCAGACTCCACACTACACCCGGAATGCATACCTGCCCCGTCCCTCCCCACACTCCTGAAGGTGTGTCTGCACCCCTAAACACCTCCCCGCTTCCAATACCTCCAGACTCCGATCCTTGCACTGCCTCTCCACCCCCCCCCCCAACACACACTCCCGGTCTCCGGCTTCAACCGGCTCCCCCGGGATCATTAAGGCCCCCGCCGGGGCCCCGGGCCCAGGAAAGTCCCTGGCTCTCAAGGCCCGGGCTCCGCCCCCTCCCCAGGAGCCCCCCGGCCCTCCGCAAAGTTGGGGGGGCACTCCGCCGTGCAGTGGGAAAACGGACCGGAAGGGGGGTGCCCCGAGCCCCCCTTCCCCCAGCAGCCATCCCGCCCGCCCCGGGACCGGGCACCCCCTGGCCCCCCGCACGATTGTCCTCCTTTCCTGTTTCTCGTCCTCCTTTCTTTTTCTGGCAAACTTTGCCCGCGCCCCCGCGGCCCGACACTCACCGCCGCCCCGAAGTGCCGGTGGGCTCGGCCCGGCGCCTTTGTATCCGCAGCGCTCCGGGTCGCGGCGAACTCGGCGCTGGCGGACGGGCAGCGCGGGCGAGGGCGGCGCGGAGGGGGCTCCGGAGCCGGCCACCCCCTCTGCGTCCCAGACCGCTGCCTGTCCCCCCC